GTCTACAGATGGAGCTGATCCACATCCTGTAGCTAAGCTTTCCACTATAAGACTGAACTAAAAATGGTTCCCCTTCCCTCCCAGAGCCCTGGAAAAAAGGGGCAGAACCAAAACTTAACAATGATAGACAGGTCATTGGCTCTATAATTGCAAACCAAGGGAAGCCACCTTACTGCAAAATGCATGGAATCTTGGAATATATGCAAACACTCAACAGAAAGAAAATGAAGCTGAAGCTCCTGGTACAGCCTTACCAGCACAACCTGACTAGATTAGCACCAACTTTTAGCTGAGAGGCAATGAAGTAGCATATAGCAGCACCAGTTACTCCAAAGCAGGACAAAATTGTGTCTTCAACCCAGGAAAAGTCTATTTCTCAGTCTTGCTGGACATGGCTGGATCCAGTTTGAAACTGCATCATGTGATCAGTGCAGACCCAAATAATGCAGTTTAACAGCATTGAACTGTGTTGTGTGTGGCCATGCTGACCAAATAATACAGTTTCAAACTGGCATGGCAGGGTCGATGCAGCCTGTGGTCAGATTTCAGCACATCCCTGTAACCGCACCTTCCGACTCTACTCCCTGCCCAGCATTGTGCAATTTGGGCCTTAAGAACAAACAGAAAAAGTGAAAGTGGTTGCTTTGCTGTTCATGTCAGTAGCTGATAGTGGGATGTCTGTGTCACCAAGTGATAGGACTGTCCCCAAAGATGGCCGTCCAGCTGTAGTAACCAGTTTGCCTTCCTCTCGCAATAAGGACTTCATTACACGAACCCGCTATTCCACTGCATTGTACTGAGGTTGTACTTCTCTTCATTCACAACACTGTGTTGATTCCACAATAATTCTTGGGCTTTATTCTGTCCAATCAACATCATAATAATGTGTCAGGAATGATGCAATACCAATGCTATGGTTGCTTGGCAGCAATGATGGTCTTCCATTATGGGTTTCCTTGTGGGTCTGCATGTGGCTGTGGAGCCCTATTCTTGCTCTGCATCTTCTTCCGCTGTGTGGGCATTGGTTTCCAGGTGGAAGGCGGTCCCGGTCGGGGTTGGCCTGATGTGCCTTCCTGCTGGCACATTTCTCTCTTTCACCCTCCACTCGTGCCTCCTCGAATTCTGCAGCACTGCTGGTCACAGCTGAC